TGATGCCATAAATAGACGGCAGGTCGACTCGACGTTTATTTTAATAAAAAAAAAACAGAGGACAAAAAATATAAATGTAAAAAAAAAAACGTGGTTTTCACAATGAAAATTATATAGAAAACACGACTTGTCGCCTCGGTCGTTTTGTTGGAAAAAAAAACCTTTGTAGCGGCATTTGTGTAGTGGCCCGTGATTGTGACGCCGGGTGGTGGTGGTACCAACTTTAACACGTCCATTGGGGGGAAATACAACAATATGGGTATAGGTGCATAGTGTACGGTCAGCTGATGGCGATAGAATGACAGATATCGGACCGGTTGACTAGTGAAGGTTATCATATACAAAATTATTAAAATACTTTACACCTACTGCACACACATCTAATTGATAAGATTTATATATTAAAAAAAACTTGTATAAATTCTGCAACATTACAAGTACTTGAAACTAAAAAAAACAAAAAAATATTTTCAATATTACTTTTATTTTGTTAGTAATTGAGTGTGTTGGGATAGATGAATCTTTATTTTAAAGTAATCGAGTAAGTTAGGATAGATAAATCACCTGTAATATAAAAACTACATATTATCATTATTTAGTTATATTTTCAATTTCATAAAAAGTAAAACGTAGAATAAGAAAATTTAACTAAATAATGTTTTTGTGTAGTTTTTATATTACAGGTGATTTATCTATCCTAACTTACTCGATTACTTTAAAATAAAACTAATATCGAAAATATTATTTTTGTTTCTTTAGTTTCAAGTACTTTTTGGCCAAATATGGGGCTTTTATATTAAATACCAATAAGTAAATAACTATTATGGTGAAGATTGAATATAATATAAAGGATTGTATATTCTCGCTAAAAATATCTAAAATCTAATTCTCGAATATTTTTTAAGTAAATTTTTTTTATAATGTTTATAAAACATTATAAGCCAAAAATAAATAATTTTCATATGTTTTATTAATTTTAACAACATAATTTAATGCATATTTCAAAGATTTTTTATGATATACATAGAATTTTAGATGCACATAAATCCGACTAATTATGACCAATAGCAAACATTATAGTAAATAAATTATTCTCAAATTATCATAAAAACAATTTCCTATATTTATTTTCTTAAATTGTCAATGTTGATACAATTTTACATTTTAGAAATTTCTAACTTACAACACTAGTAGTAACCCATTTGAATACTGACAACAGCAAGGGAAGCTTAACTTTAAAACTATACAGTATTTGAAGTGTCCATTGTAGACATAAGGATAACTATTAGTGCACTCGGACTGGTCTAATCGTTATCACGCGTCTACTCCCTACTACGCACGTTGTAGTGGACATCGCTACTACCGGCCAATCAGCTGTTACACACGTACACACCACACACGCACAAAAACACATTTTTTATAGTATAGTAGAGTAGAGTATAGTACAACATTGTATTGCGCAATAATCCAAGTTGTTGTTGAAAATATATATAAATATGTATATAAAATTTGATATAAACGTTTTTTAATGTTGTAAAAAATCATTACGGCAAATTTAAAGTTTAAGAAACTCAAAAAGTTTTTTTTTGTTCATATTTGTCTTTCGCACTAATTGCGGGGATCAATTTTTTAAGCTACTAATTAGCTACTGAAGATATTTTTATTGTGACTTTAAGCTACTAATTAGCTACCAAATTATTTTTTTTGATTCATTTCTACCAATTAGCTACCGTATTCTAGTCAATTGTGATATTCAAATTTGTGTTACCAAAATTGTAGTTCCTTAAGTATATTTATTATTGTCGTGGTTTGTGTTTTAGTTTTAGGTAGCATCTCTGGCCAGAAGCTCTGCGAA